GAGCTGCTTAGGAAGCTTAAAAATACAACTATCGCATGTCCCAATTATCCTAATTCTAGAGTTATATCACAAAGAAAGACAATTGGCATATTACTGCTTTCATTTTCATTACAGCAGCACTAACCTTAGCCAGTGAATAGACCTGCACATATAACAATAGATGAATGGAAAAAGAAGCAATGAAACATATCATATGTATATGTGTCTTCCATGTAGTATTCAATCTTCAAAATTCAATAAATCCTGTCACATGTGACAGCAAGAGTGAATATTGAGAATATTACACCAGTGAAATAAGCCTGTCACTGAAGAACAAATACCATATGACTCCAGTAGTATATGATACATAAAATATTACAAATCAGAGGCAAAGCAAAATGTGATTTGTCAGTGGCTGAGCAGAAAGAAATCAGGTATTTCTATGCAATGATAACAGCTAAGATGATTAGATGAGAGGTCTCCTGTACTTACAGTTCATAATACTATTGACATTTGTCCATTGGCTTTCTATCTTGCATGCTACTGAATTTGTTTACTAATTGTAGGACCTTCTCAGAGGAGGTTTTTGGGACTTCCAGTTAGAGTACCATGTCATCTGCAAATAATGACAGATTAACTTCTTCTTTACCTATTCTTATTACTTTTATTTTCATATCATTTCTAATGGCTCTAGTTAATGATTCCAGAACTATATTAAATAGGAGTGGTGATAGAGGACATCCTTGTTTTATATATTATCTAAGAGTAAAAGATTTCAGGTTTTCCTCATTTAGTATTATAATTGCAGTTGAATTGCATAGATGGTTTTTATCAGATTGAGGTACAAGGCATTGATTCCAATTTTCTATAGGGTTTTGATCACAAATGAGTGTTAGACTTTGTTTAATGCTTCTTCTATATGAGGAAATCAAGCCATCTGAGAATTAAACAAAACTTTCCTACAAAGAACTTGTAACTTAATGTGTAAATGAAGCTTAAGAAATCTGTTATCATAAAAGATTACAATCAGTTTGCAAATAGCAATTTGAGGACACTTTTATGTTGGGAATCAAACCACATACAAAATTGGATATCATAGGACTGACAGTAGAGCTCCATGGACTAAGAGCTCGCTTGGGTAAGCACAGGGGCATGGGCTTGATCCTGACCCCACAAGCTGTGCCAGTCCATCCTCTAGGCAGGCTGAGCACTCAGGAGGCACAAATTAGGAGGATCACTATGAGTCTGAGCTGTGTAGTGAAACCCTGAACAAAATCAATCAATCAATCATTCAATCAATTGATCAATAATAATAATTTGGATAACATTCAGATGGATGAACACATCAAAAGAATTTAATCTGAGTAATAAACTCAATAAACAACATTGATGTGTAGTGCATTGAGAAATAGAGAAGTGATGAGAATACCTCTGGAGGTGGATTCTTAAAGGTGGCATGTAGGGAAAACATCATGCATGATACAAACCCAGCCCTTGAACCTACCAAGATAAAGGACAGAGGGTTGGTCTGAACAATAAGAAGGAACCAAAAAAATTTAGGGCTCAAAATTATAACTATACTATGGAAAGAACAGATTTGGGAGGCCAGTTGAAAAGTAACCTTATTCTGGGGCATAGTTTGGTCCTAGTTTCCTTGTATGGCATGATAAAGCTCTGGGTTATATCCTCAGAACCCTTGCAAACGAAAAAATCCTTATGACTACGACACTAATTATAACAATATCTTCATGGATGTACACTTATCTTTAAGTTCATAGAGTTGCACATATTAAATATCTACAAAATTCACATAAAATTATATTTTAATAATTTTTATCCTGCCTTCATATCACAAATAAATGAAACTAAGGAATAGAATTTTAGAAATTTTTAGATCACAAATATATAAGATTTGTCTCCTTCTTTTTAGGTAATGAAAGGAGTACATTTCTATTGAAAACACCACATTTTTCAACACTTTGTAGATCCAAATCTTTCTTGCAATCTCTGTTCAACTTCTATTTTAAGTAATGAATGGAAAACTTTTCTATTTATGCACTATAGAATAGATACTCTCAAAATCAATCCCTCTTTAATGTTGTTGGGAACCATGCCTCTCACATCAAGAGTCTCTGCAGATACACTCTAATGTCAATGCCAAGCAAATCCCTTTAGAAATAAATGCAAAAATTAATTTTTTCTCTGAGTTTAACTAGATAATTATTGCTGCTGACATATGAATAGAAAGAATATCTTAGAGTTTCATAATTTATTCTCCAGTGCTTTAAAGACCAAAGCTTAAATTATTAATCTCTATTAAAACAATGTCACATGGTCATCCAGACTCTATAAGAAGTTGCTAGCTATGAACTCAAAGTACGATGGTGGTTTTCTAATTTACTTGTGTTATACTTAAACAGGAATATGTGTTTCTGTAAATACCTAATGTTTTTATTGTGTTCATATTTTATTTTTGTTATGTTCATATTTTGTTTTTAGTTTGTCTCTAAATTGAAGATACTATAAAAAGCAATAACAAAACACGATAAGTTTTTCAGTTTGCTGATACTTGGTTGTAAAGCAACATGTTTTATAGCAATTATGCAGGTAGGTTCATGAAAGTTGGGAAATATTAGTGAAATTGATTTCTGATTCACATAAATGATTATATTTTGGAATGGGGAAGAGAACTCTATGCAATACTTTGAAGAAAATAATTTTTGTGGCTAGGGAGTCAGCTCAGTATTGTAAGTGCTTCCATGGCAAGCGCAAGGGCCTGAGTTCAATTCCCGGTTCTCAAAAAAAACAAAATTAAAAGGAAATAATACTCACTGACAAAAAAAGCCCATTTTCAAGAATTTGATAATTATTTTCAGCTGATTTATCCTAACTCTTGCTAAAATAATTCAAAAATGCATTTTTATCATTTTACCAATATTTGTCAAAATATCATAATTCCAAAGAATATTTTAAAAGAAGTATAGTTCTGGAGTATGAACAGAAATTTATTTTATTGACTTGATTATGAGATTTTAATGATAAAAGTTCAGAAAATTCTCTCCCTAATATAGTAGATAGAAAAACAAACAAACAAACAAACAATATAATAAATCCAGTAAGGTAAGAATAAGAAATAAAAATACTAAATATGTTTTTATAACATTGCACTTTGCATAATCATTGCAGATTTTTTTCCAAAGCTGTGTCTCTGAGGTGGGCTAAAACCAATGTCTTTTAGCAATTTCTAGAAGAGGATTAGTATTATTTTGTCTGTCTTATAATGTATAATTTTTCTTCATTTGAAATACTACGATATAATTTTCAAGACTATATCAAATACATAATAAATTTGGGTATTCACTGAACTTCAATAAATATGTGACAGATTGTGAATAGATAAAGTTGCAAACTGAAACACATAAGTGAACCTCTGTGAGACTTAAAAAATAATGAAGACAAGAGTTTCTGCTGAAGGTGTTTCAGGAAGTACAAGATAGTTATTTGTCATAAAAAATATGCATGCTGTGAGTGGACACTTTGTCACCAAGTATTATAATGCTAGATATAAGTAAAGGACCCTTAAAAACTGTGGACACAAAATACTAGGTCAGGGCCAGTGAGATAGCTCAGGGAACTAAAGTGCCTGCTTAGGCAAGAGAAGGGACTGCAGTCCAATCCCTGGCACCACATCCTGTGCCAGCACTGTCCCACAAGGTGGCTTGAGCCAGCCACAGAGTCCAGCTATAGTGATGCATACCTGTAATCTCAGTATGGAGGAGGCTGTAAAGGCATGATCACTACAAGTCTGAACTGCATAGTAAGACCCTAGAATATAAATATAAACATAAATATAAATATAAATATGAATATATATGAAAATGTCAGACAAGAGAGCAGTATGAACCAAAATATGTTAAGCTGAATATAAAATAATTTTATTAAACTTATTGAGAAAATAAAAAGATGGTCTGTTATTCTCCTGTAGTTTTAAGAAATAAATAGATCTTTCTTTAAACTATCCCTTAATGATCTTATTTGGGAAAGGTTAGTAAATTGTGGAAAATATTTCTCAAATTCACAGTTGTTCAGTTTTTAAAAATTCATTTTCTTGCTTGCTTTTTTGCTTTCCTTCTTTCTTTCTTATACAGAATCTTGCTAAGCAGGTCAGACTTGTAGGGTTCTCCTGTATCAGTCTCCCCACTGCTGAGATTACAAAGGTGTGCCATCATGCCCTGTTTCAGGGCCAGCATGGTAGGTAATACCAGGAATTGAACTCAGGCCTTTGTGCTTACCAGGCATGCTCTTAGACCATGCATGGAAGCTATCTCCTCAAACTTAAAAATTCATTTCAAAATGAATCTGATAAGGTTCAAAAACGTGTTTAGTCATTCAGTGTGAAAAACTTCATTCTTATTCAGTTTTTAAAATAGTCATTAAAAAACTGTGTAAAGAACATTTTTTAAAAAAAAAAAGTATGACATAAATCCCATAGGATAAGGTGCAGCACTTGTTGATTGTTCTGTGGAGCTAAACTTACCTTAATTTTTTATATTAGGCAATGGCAAATTACATACACTTAGCAACAGTTTACTGATGGGCATAGGGTAATTCCTGTTGGAAAGCTTTTCCACAGTGGGCACTCACACAAGACCTAGGAATAGGGAATATCCTCTGTGCATATACCATGATGCATGTTTTTTATATGAATTGCCCTACTGTTACTGTGCTAATTTATAGAAGCACTAGATGATATGGGATGATTTGAAGTAGAGAAGTCTTCTCTTTTATACATAAGGTGTTTAGGGTCAGGGATATAGCTCAGCAGCATAAGCATGTGCCTGGCAAGTACAATATTCTCAGTTCAGTCCTGGTACTGGAAAAATAAGTAAGTAAGTAAGTAAGTAAGTAAGTAAGTAAGTAAATAGTAAATATGGGGTAATTACAAGGGATGAGTTAGAAACATTGTTCACATAATCTTAACTAATGTTTTTGCAATTTATATCTCAGCTAGGCAATGAAAAATGGCTCAGGGAAACAAGTCCTTGACAATTGAATTCATTCTCCTAGGATTGACAGATCACCTGTACCAGAAGATCCTTCTGTTTATTCTGTTCTCTGCCATCTACCTCATCACCATGGTGGGGAACCTAGGTTTAGTGGCCTTGATTTACAAGGAGCGTCGGCTTCACACACCAATGTACATCTTTCTGGGAAACCTAGCTCTGATGGATGCCTGCTGTTCCTGCGCTATCACTCCCAAGATGTTACAGAACTTCTTTTCTCAGGACAGAAGGATTTCCCTCTATGAGTGCATGGCACAGTTTTATTTTCTCTGTCTTGCTGAAACTGCAGACTGCTTTCTTCTGGCAGCAATGGCCTATGACCGCTATGTGGCCATATGTAGCCCTCTGCAGTACCACATCATGATGTCAAAGAAACTCTGTATTCACATGGCCATTGGGACCTTCATAGCAAGTAATCTTCATTCTATGATTCACGATGGACTTCTACTAAGGTTAACTTTCTGCAAGTCTAATCAAATTGATCACTTTTTTTGTGATATCCTTCCACTGTATAGACTCTCCTGCACAAGTCTTTTTATTAATGAACTAATGCTATATATTTTTTCCATGCCAATTCAGATAATTACTATTGCCACAGTCTTGATTTCTTACTTCTGCATTCTTTGTACAATTTTCCAAATGAAATCTAAGGAAGGCAGAGGTAAAGCATTCTCTACCTGTGCTTCTCACTTTCTCTCTGTCTCCATATTCTACATTTGTCTTCTCATGTATATGCGTCCATTTGAAAAAGATAATAAAGATATACCAGTGGCAATATTTTATACAATAGTAATTCCATTATTAAATCCTTTTATATATAGCCTGAGAAATAAGGAAGTAATAAATGTTCTTAAAAAATTAATGAGGGCTTTTAATTTTCTTAAATAAGTTTCAACTATAGCAAATTGATTTCAGTTATAAAAATTATTTCATAAAAATGGGCAGAGTAAAAGAATGCTCTGAGTTTTACAAACAACACTTACCTTAAAACTAAGAAGCAGTGCTTTTTAAAATATATTTGAACAGAATTTCAAAATTGAGAAATCTTAATCCATTTTATGCAAACAGAACAAATTAATGAAAACTAAATTGTTTATACTATCTGTCATTACTTTTACGGTATTCTGAGATGGTTCAAGCCTCAATAAATCAGCATAACTTCAAAATTAAAAATTTTAAATATAAAAAGAGCCTTTAAACACTATTTTTATTTAATAGAAAAATTTTATCTGGTCCTAGATAATATGTAAAATATTTAGCATTCCCTAGCACAGAAGTGAAATGATAATCTTGTTTTCTGGAACACTGGTCTGGCAGACAGAAGTGGGTTAGTTTAGAGAAAAAGAACAGAAACAAACTAATTCCAGTAATCTACAACTGATGCAATAAAGTTTCATTTAGGTAAGATTCCAAGAATTAGAAAAGGAAGAGAATGAGAGGAATACACTTGTATTTTGTAGACTAACAATGAATATAGTGAATTGATAAATTTTACTTTTATTTGAAGTACTATTAATACTTTAGTTTTGAAGGCATAAACTGTGCTACATATTACAAAATGTTAAACAGATTTCTTGCATATTGAGCACTCAATAAAAATTAAAATACTTTAATGAAAATATTCTTTATAATGAGATACACCAAATTATTGTTAGTGATTAATTTTTGTTTCTAAGAATTCTGTATTCATTTCCCAGGTAGTAATTTTCCACCCATGTTTATTTGTACTGTTGTTTACAAATAAAATATATTAAAATGTACAAGTGTTTGTGGTAAATAATTTCCTTAAGTGTTGGTAGTATTTTAATACTTGTGTGTGATGCTCATAATCTATAAATATTTTAATTTGAATCACCCTTGTTCATGAGTTTATATGATTATATTTTATTGTCTATAATTTTCTTTTTAATCTGAAGTCCAGTAGTAACCACTATATATTATATTGTCCTGTTTACCTTCTCTTTTATTTCCTTCTCATTTTCTTCCTGAAGTTTTGTTACATCAAACGTTGATGTTCACTTTTCTTCTTCTTTGAGTTAACTGAATATATTGCATGGGCCAATGAATCCTCTTCTCTCCACTACCTGCCCGCACATTAGGGATTGAACCCAAGATCTTCACACTGAGCAACATCTTGAGAACCATTTCTTTTTTTTTTTTTTTTTGCGGACCCGGGGATTGAACTCAGAGGCTTGCGTTTGCCAGTCAAGCGCTTATCCTACTGAGCCATCTCTCCGACCCATTTTGTTTGTTTTGAGACAGGGTCTTGCTGAGTCCTTATGCTGCACAGGCTGTACCTGAACTTTTATCATTCTGCCTCAGCTCTCAGAGTACTGGGATCTTTCAGGTTTACACAAACAAATTCATTGATCTTGATAAACTACATAACTGTGTTAAGAGATTCCTGAAGGTCTGATTGGATTGTTAGAACACTGATTTCATCAAGTGGTTAAGTTTATGATGAGTGCATAGCTGAATGGGTTATTATGAGGGGGCCCAGTTGGAAGGAGTAATGCATGTGAACATGACCTTGGGGCCTATATTTGGTTTCTGACAACTTCCTCTCTGCTCTTCCCATTATTCACATCTATGTTCATTAGGGAGATTGGCCCGGATTTCTCTTCCTGGTTGGTTCTTCTCTGGTTTTATGTGGTAAGATGACACGCACCCTTGTAGGAGTGACATCGGGAGTACTTCTTCCCTTTCAGTTTCATTAAAGAATTTGAGAAGTGGTGGGCTCCTGTAAGCCGGTAGTTGAGGTCCTGAGGGAAGCAGTTGTGAGGGGTTTGTTCATACATTTGCTTTGGTAAACTTCCTATCTATAAAGTCAAAATTTGCTGCTAAAGATGTTGGACCCAGATATCCTCACTGAGGTTCTGGTGGCATTGAAGAGGTTATCCAAGTGCATGATTGGGGGTTTTTATGGCATTGAGCACGTGTTGATCTTGCACATCTTGACTTAGGAACCCTGTGTGAAAGGGGAGGATGTGCTGGAGCCTCAAATTTTATCTGAAGCAACTTCGATCGGTTATGAATAATTTAAAGGGAGATAAGTTCATCAAATGCAGAATGAGAGTACAGACTGCTGCAGATGGGAAAACCACATGCCATAGCTACTACTTTAAAAATATTGTGCTCTTCTTAATGTGGGAAAATACAAACTAGACCACATAAGAAGGAGGATTGAAACAGATGAGATTCTTCCAACCAGGCTTCCTTCCAATGTCCTGTCTGTAGCAGTACTTTCACAGACCTAGAAATTAATCAGCCCTTTGATCCCATGGCAGGATCTTTCCACTGTACATTTTGCCATACAGAAGTAGAAGAAGATGAATTGGCAATGCCCAAACAAGATGCACGCACACTTTTGGCAAGGTTTAATGAACAACATGAGCCCATTTACGCATTTCTTCTGGAGACAGGGGATGTGAACTTGGCCTATGAAATACTTGAGCCAGAACCTACAGAAATCTCAGCCCTGAAACAGAGCAAGGACTGAGCAGCCATTACTACTGGAGTTACTGGCCAAGCAGGAGGTCACCTCCAGGAAGCATGAGCCATCAGAGGGCTCTCCTATGAGGACTGATACACAAAGAATGTTGCCATTAACATGGGTGACCAGGAAGATGTTCACAGTGCCTCTCCTGAGGCGAAATCTTCCAAAGAGAGACACATTTGGCTGAGAAAGAGCACTGTCCAATGAGCATATAGTTCTGAAGAGATGAAAGAAGGTGGCATAGATATGGATGAATTTCAGAAGCATGAGAAAGTCTTCAATGGGCCTGATGATAATGAGGAGACCATGTGAGTGTTCCTCGTTCATGAGAAGAAGACGCCCTCTGCTATGACTGGCTCCATAGGGACAGCTGCTCCTGTGACTGCCACAAATCCCAGTGACTCAAAAATTGAGACCAGTGAGTCAGAGAAGGAGTCTCTGCCCCAGGCAGAGGTGCTGTGGCTGTGCATCCTGGGGGAGAGGATGAGGGAGATGACGAGTTTGAGGAGGTAGCAGTTGACCCCACTGTCATGGTGGCTGGCCACCCATTCTTCTTCAGTGAGGTGAGCCAGAGGAGAGCTCATGGCCCAGATGACACCAAAAGAGTAGGACAGATACATAGCAATGGGAAAACACATGTTTGAGGACCTCTTTGAATGAGTTTTCGCTGCCTGTTCCTCCTTTCTGTCTTGCTAATTTCAAAAAGAAACTCCCTACCTTTGAAGAAAAATGTTTAAGTGACTTGCATTCCCTCTTGATAGAAAGCACCTGTTAATCTTTTTCAAAGAATAATGGAAGAGAAAGTTTGATTTTAATGCCAGAATTTCCCAGAAAGGTAGGTTAGCTGTAGGCATTCTCTTCTCTGCTATTACTGTAGTATTAATATGTTACTGTATTTTCCTTATCTGATTTTTTTCTTTCCTTTTTAAGATGCCCTTTTCTCCCTTCTGAGATGAATAAAGTAAATTCTTTTTGCATACCTACAGAAACCTATTACAATTAATAGCATATTTATAAATTCTTACCAAGGATTCAAACAGTTCCTTATATTATCTGCAAACAAAGCAGCTTTCTGATGGGCAAATCAGTGGCTAGGCAAAAAGAATCATAAAACTCCATGTTTCCCCTCATTAAGACTGGGATCAACATGTAAGGGGAAGTGGGAACATGTGCAGAAGAGCAGAGGATATGTCTGAACCTTGTGATTAGTGTGTAAACCAAATTTGCGTCTTCAGAATAGACCAGACTGGTAGATTCTATGGTTTTGCTTAATGCTTTTTTGGTCTGCATTTTGGATGATACAAAGCAAAGTATGCTTAGTATATCTTTATAAAGAAATTTAAAAAACAGACAAATGACAGAGAATCCATGTAAAGGGTTGAAGAGTGGAGAGCACTGGAAAAAACGCCTTAGAACTGCCAGTGTCTGCTGTGATTTGGAAGTCCTTGAGGTACACCAGAGATGGCCTCACCCCCACTATAGACTTCTTGTCAGTGCTATAAATTAAAGAGGTCATCGCAGCAGAAATAGACACAGACCAACTGACTACCTTCTTCTTTCTCTTTCAACATCTTTTGAAAGCCTTTTTTGGGTCTCTCTCTTGGTCCTTGTCAGATATGGGAGTTTAGAGTACATCCTATATATTGCGAAACATTGTAGCTTCAAGGAATATAGTTTGTTTGGATTTTGATATTTAGTGCAATTTTTATAAATGCAGAACTTTAAAAACAAAGGATAATTATATTTCTTATAATATCATTCTTGCATTGTAATTTTTAAGTATTTATCATTTTGTAGTACATGTGTGAAATTAGGATGGCATCTTCGAGTATCTGAGCATTGTATGAAGTGATATCTCACTTTCTTGGGTTTATTAAGGACTGAATGTTGACAATAACTATTTTATACTAAATAAAATTTGGCAATATCTAGCTGTGTAACATCATGGAGCATAATGAAAATGTATATTCTTATAAAAATAAAACAAGAAAAAAGAATTTGAGCATTTAAGACATTAGATGACTCTAAAGGTGATGAAGAATTCAGCAGTGAAACCACGAGGGCCTTTGTAGATAGGGTTAAAGAGTAGCTTGCCGCAGCTGCTGGAACAGTCTGGATGATCCCAGCTCACGCTTCAAAGTGGAATCCCCCTGCCCAGTGTGTTGTCCAGCTGCCAGCTGTCTACTGTGTGCCCTGCACTAATTCTACTCTGGGACATGGGCAGTGAAGCAGCCCTGGGGGCTGTTCTGCTGCTGCTTTAAGCTCTGAACCCTTTGAAATAAAACTGTGACCCCACCCCACCCCCACAGCTGCTCCACTGTTTGACTGTATGCTGGTCGCCACTCTAGTTCACTCACCAACCATTGACTCGGGTGGGTGGGGGTGGGGAGTT